AGCCACACCCTGACCCCTGCACACAGCACAGCCACACATAGCCACACCCTCACCCCTGCACACTGACACACACATGGCCACACCTTCACCCTCACACACCACAGCTGTGTACATCTGCATTTCTGGTACACTGCTCATTATATGTGTAACATTCATCACATATAACGTGTACACTGTACATGCTTCCACACGTACATGCTCATGAACTTCTAATGCACAGAAAAGACACATAGTGTGTCTACTTACCCTTGTACACACCTCTGCACCCACACCCACTTCTACAAGACTCAAGTGTACCGACAACATACACAGCCACACACAGTGTGTCTTCATACACACATCATTCACACCACTGACACTCACAGGTACCAACAGCACGCGGCCATGCACACACATCCTGATAGCCCAGGCGCTGGCCTGCCTCCCGCAGGACGCTGTCCCACAGCGCCTCCCTCCCAGCTTGGCTTGCGCTTGCTCACTTGGGCTGTTGGTGGAGGCCCTGGCACAGCTTCCTCACACCTCCCTGACTGCTCTGTTCCAGATGGTGGTTCTGCCTCCTTTTTTTGCCAGTCCTGGTCTTGAACTCAGAGCCTGGGCACTGTTCCTGAGCCTCTCTGTGCTCAAGGCTAGCACTCTACCACTTGAGCCACAGTGCCACTTCTGGCTTTTTCTGTGTATGTGGTACTGAGGAATGAAATCCAGGGTTTGATGCATGCTAGGCAAGTGCTCTACCACTGAGCCACCTTCCCAGCCCAGTCCTACCTCCTTTTGGAGCTAGACCATCAGTCCTGGCCTGAGAGGCACTGGTACCTCCGTAACTGCCATACCAGGAGACCTGCAGGTGATCTGGGCTGAGTCCTGCCATCTCCCAGCAATCCTTCAGTCTCTGGAGGTGGCTCTTAGATGCCTGCCTTGCTCATCCTTAGGATGGCCTCAGATCTACCCGGAGACACCCAGGCCTAATAGTGGCAGGGCAGGGGACATGGAGTTGTCCTGAGGGCCCACAGGTGGAATGGGTTGATGGGTCCCGGCAGAGAGGCATGCCCTTGGAGGTGCGTGGGCAGTGGGACGAGGGGTGGTAGGCCGTCTCTGTGGCCTTCCAGAGCACTGGGGCCTCCACCTGTGGTAGAGGTGGCACTGTCATTGCTCTGGGCTGTACGTGGGAATCAGATGAGGGCCTCCTCCAGGGCAGAGTGAGGGGTGCCCAGAGCACAGGCTGGTCTAAGCAGGGCCCCTGCCACACACCCGGAGCAGCCTCCAGTTCTCAGCCTGCCTTCCTGCTGGCTTCCTCAGGGCCCTGCAGGGGGTGGGCAGGGGACGGTGCCCCGCGGGCCTGGGCCTGGCAGGTGTGGCTCGCAGGGTGGCTCGCAGGGTGGCTCCCGTTGCTCTCCCAGAGGCACCGTCTGCCTCCGCTGCGGGCCCTGCGGACCTTGCTGGCACAGGCCGAGGCCAGGCAGGCCAGCGAGGCTGCCACTACACAGGCTCTCCCGTACCCTCCTGGGCTCCATGGCTCAGCCCTGAGATGCACACCCAGCCCCGCCAGGGCCCCGCAGGTCAGCAGCGGGACATCTATGCCTATGGTGACCAGTTGCCTGCTGGCTGAGGCCTGGAAGGCCTGCGGGGGGTGGGAGGCTGTGGGATGCCCTGGGCGGGGAGGATGCCCACCCCTCCCACCCCCTGGACAGTCCTCTGTGCCCAGGGCGCCCGCCCCTCCCCCAGCACAGCCTCTTCTCAGGACACAGGCGGGCACTGTTCGGAGGCCCCGGGACTACAGAGTGCCTTTGTGGCTGGCGTCTGGGGATGCCATTGGCAGCCCAGGGTGGGTGGGGAGGGGTGAGGGAACCTGAGCCCCGGGTCGGGTCTGTGGCTGTGGACTAGTTGGCGCAGGGCGGGGCTGCTGCTGGCCTTCAGGAGGAGGAGGAACGGGTGCACTGCGGCTCTCCGTCCTGACCTCCAAGCCCTTTCAGGGGGTCCTCATGTCCAGGCCTGGGGACCTGCACTGTGTGGAGGGTGAAGGCCCGCCCCTTCCCTGCCCCCGCCCTGAGCTGTCCCACTGTATGTTCTGAGGCTAGAGCCAGTGTCCTCTGGGCTGGGGACGCAGCTAGGCACTAAGAAGGAAGTACTGGCATCAAGGGCATTTAGAGTCTACAGAAGGTGCGGGAGGGGTGGGACCTGTGGGGGCTCTGCCAATAGTTGGTCACTGACCTTGGAGCCGGAAAGGAGAGCGGGAACAGCCCAGAGCCGCCCAGGCCTAGACGGGGGACTCGAGACCGCAGAGGCAGCTTGTTGTCTAGGGATCCCACAGTCGCCCACTCTCCCGGTGAGAGGACCGAGGACAGTCCCGCGATGAAGTTGCGAACCAGAGGGGCCTCGGCCTCCGCGGGAGCCCCATCCTCCAACCCGGGTGAGAGCTGGGACAGTCCCGCGATGAAGTCGTGAGCCAGAGGGGCCTCGGCCTCCGCGGGAGCCCGTCCTGCACCCAGCCTTCTCCAGCCTGCCTCCGCCACAGGAGCCTGGACAGGAGGCCCAGGCGTTAGCCAGGCTATAGGACAGACGGTGCTGCAGGCTTCGGTTCTGTTTCCTGTCCCTGCTGTGCCGGGGGTCAGGCTGGACGGCGCTGGGCCACGGGGACCGGTGGGGACAGCCTTGAGTGTGACTGGAGAGGTGGGGTCTCCACCCCCATCTCAGTGAGGGCCACAGGGTTACCGGTCGGCGGCCGGCACACTGTCCAGGGCTGCGCCCACTGCTCCCTGCGCCCCGGCCCTGCAGGGCCAGGCTCATGAGGCTGAGCGTGTGTTCCAGGTCACATCCGCTTTCTGGAAGGGATGATGGGGTCCTAGAGGACCCCGGGTGGCTGCACACGCGCGGAGGTGGATTGTACAACCCAGCTCCTTGCCTGCTTTCAGCCTCCAAGTCCAGCAGCCTCCAGGAGCGCTTTGGAGAGAGGGCGCCAGGAGAAGGTGCCGGGCTTTTGGATAATTCCTGCTGAGACTTGAGGCTCGTAGGGTTGCCTGGGCCTCCTGGGCCCATGAACGAGGCTGGGGCTTCCTTCAGGCTGTGTCACTGTTCCCCGGAACTGAGGCTGATCCTGACTCCAAAGGCCATGTGTGGGCCCGAGTCTGTCCCTGGAGTGGGGCCCCAGAGACGGGCTGAAGGGAGGACCAGCAAGGAGAGAGCCCAGCTGTGCCCTCTGGCCACAGTTATTCTGGCTGTATAAACAGGGAGAGGGGCCAGGGCAGGCAGGCCCTGCCAGGCCACTTCCTGGTCACTGTCAGGGCCAAAGCTGGCCAGGGCAGCGGGAGGAAGATGTGGACATTGCTTCCTCAGGGGACCAGAGGTGCCAGCGTAGTAAGGAGCTGGTGATGTGGTTAGTCCTTTATAAAGATCATAGGGCTGGGTATGACCACTTTGTACCCCAAGATTCAGAGCTGCTCTCCGAGGGGCCTCTTTCTGTGCCTGGCTGGCTAAACTTCCTCACCCCAGCCCAGCCCTGCATCTTAATGGGGACAGTGAGGCTCTCTCCTTCTTTGATGGACACGCGCTGTGTACGCGCTCACATGGAGGCTGTGTGTGAAAGGGACTGCAGGGGGTGGCCCAGCTTACAGCATTCTGGCTCTCCAGTGAGCTCAGCACAGGTCAGGGCGGGGCCAAGGACCCTGCCCTGCCGGGGAGACTATTGCAGAAAGCACACACAGACCAGATCCCACACCATGATGGACCTTGTGTTGCTGGCCTGCTGGGCCCGGGCAGCAGAACACAGCAAGTCCCTGTGGGCAGCGGGTGGCTGCGTGCAGGGTCAGCAGAGCAGAGGTGTCCGCACCAGAGGGCAAGACCTACCTAGACATCTCTCCCTGCTGTACAAGGGAACTAGACCATCAAGCAGGGACCTTGAGGATGGCAGGAAAACAGGTGTGGGGACAGAAGGAATTTGCTAAGGTGGGTGTCGATGGGCAGTGCCCCAGCGTGTGGAGCCCGAGGGAGTGCTGTGTGTCCCTGCTCACACGCCGCGGGCAGCGGGCAGCCAGGGCCTTCTCCTGGCACCAGTCATCCGGGTTCCATCTACTGAGTGTGACCTGGAGGAAGCGACTTCATTCTCTGTGGCCCATTTCCTCATCCCGAAGTGGGGTACCGTGTGGCCCTGCAGAAGTTGGAGAACAGCGGGTGCAAGCGGACGGGACGGGGGGGGGGCGGGCAGGAGTGCGGCTCGCGGTAGGAACACACAGGGTTGCAGCAGCAGGTAGGCAGGAGAGAGCAGGCATGAGCAGCTTACCCTGAGCCCAACCCTGTGTGTGTGTGTGTGAGTGTGAGTGTGTGTGTGTGTGAGAGAGTGTGTGTGAGTGTGTGTGAGTGTGTGAGAGTGTGTGTGAGTGTGTGTGTGAGAGAGAGAGAGTGTGTGTGTGTGAGTGTGTGTGAGAGTGTGTGTGTGTGTGAGAGTGTGTGAGAGTGTGTGTGAGTGTGTGAGAGTGTGTGTGTGTGAGTGTGTGTGTGTGTGTGTGTGAGTGTGTGAGTGTGTGCGTGAGTGTGTGAGAGAGAGTGTGTGTGTGGTTTTGTACCCACTTCTGCTCCAGCCTGATAGTGAAGCCGGAGTGCCTTTCTGTGAGATACCCCTCCTGCTTTCCTACCCATCAGGCCGGCCGAGTCTTCCCAGAAAGGAAGGGGTGAAGGGAGAGGAGACAGAACTCTAAGCTCAGGAATCTAGAGGACAGTGAGCAGACCCAGGGTTCTTGGGAGCCAGGCCAAGATGCTGGCCCTGCAGCCATGGCCAACGGTCCCATGTGGCACAGCTAGCCACCCTGCTCAGACAGCATGGAGGAAAGCCCTGGAGCCCCTGGCTGGACCCTGACCTACAGGGCACGCGGTAGGACAGACAGGCAGATGAGCCAAACGGGGTTCCATGGAGGCCCATGGCCTCCCTGCCTGCCTGGACCTGCACAGCTCCCCTGCTCCAGCCCTTGGCAGCCCAGAGACTCATGCCGTCCCCTCTGCTCTTTCTCTTCCAGCTGCTACTGGTGGCCACAGTCCTGGACCTTAGGAGCCACGGCTGCTCTCTGTGGGGGCTGACACCGTGCCTGCCCCTCTCCTGCCCTCCCCAGGCCCCCGCCCCCTAGCCCCAGCCGGGCCCTGCCTGCCGCCAGACCCTGGCATGTCAAGACCTGGCCCGTGCCTGCCTGCCCAGCCCGTGGATCCCCGGCGGCCCCGTGAGCTAGGATGAGGGGCCAGGCCGCCGCCCCGGGCCCACGCTGGATCCTCACTCCGCTGCTGTCGCTGCTGCTGCTGGGGCACTGGGTGCGCGTGGCCGCCGGGGCGGACGTGGGGCCCGGGGCTGAGACCTGTGCCACGCTGGTGCAGGGCAAGTTCTTCGGCTACTTCTCCGCGGCTGCCGTGTTCCCGGCCAACGCCTCGCGCTGCTCCTGGACCCTGCGGAACCCAGACCCTCGTCGTTACACGCTCTACATGAAAGTGGCCAAGGCAGCTGCGCCCTGCACGGGCCCCGGCCGCGTCCGCACCTACCAGTTCGACTCTTTCCTCGAGTCCACACGCACCTACCTGGGCGTAGAGAGCTTCGACGAGGTGCTGCGGCTCTGTGACCCCTCGGCGCCCCTAGCCTTCCTGCAGGCCAGCAAGCAGTTCCTGCAGATGCAGCATCAGCAGCCGCCCCAGGACAACCAGCTGGGGGTCCTGAGCGGGCCCCGCGGGCCCGGAGACGACTTCTCGGTGGAGTACCTGGTGGTGGGCAACCGGAACCCCAGCCGGGCCGCCTGCCAGATGCTGTGCCGCTGGCTGGACGCCTGTCTGGCCGGCAGCCGCAGCTCGCACCCCTGCGGCATCATGCAGACCCCCTGCGCCTGCCTGGGGGGTGACGCTGGAGACCCTGCCGCCAGCCCCCTGGTCCCCCGTGGGGACGTCTGTTTGAGGGATGGTGTGGCTGGGGGCCCCGAAAACTGCCTTACCAGCCTGACGCAGGACCGTGACGGGCACAGCGCGGCAGGTGAGTGTTCTGCACAGCCTGTGTTCACACAGGGTGTGAGGGAGGACAGTACCCGGACCCAGGCTGCAGGCTGTGTGCACACAGAGAGAGAGAGACAGAGAGAAAGAGAGAAAGACAGAGACAGAGAGACAGAGAGAGACAGGGAGAGAGACAGAGCGCACTCAAGGCTCAAGTTCAAGTATACTGCGGGCCTTCTGCTTCCAGGGCAGGAAGCTGGGCCGGGGGTCAGGGGTTGGGGGAGGGAGGGAGAGGAGACCTGGCACACAATAGGTACTTGTCGACTTGTCGAGTGTGGAGGGAAGGAACACACAGCAGAGTCTAGTTCCCTCCAAGGGTGAAGTGTTTTCATTCTCAGCTATGAGAGCACTGTGCCTTCTGATGGGCCTAGCGCTGCCTTGACTGCCGGCTGGGGCCGGGGATGGGGGAGGAGCTTTTGGGAGCGGGCACGGGATGGCGCGTGGGCTGCATGGGTAGTTGGACTCTCTGAAGAGCCTGCCCAGGGGTGAGGTGGGGTGTCTGCGTGGCGTGTCTGTCTGCTGCAGCTGGCGGTGAGGCTTCTGTAGGTGTCCCAGGTGCCCGGGCCGGACAGTGAGGACGGGGGGAAAGCCCTGCCCTGTGCGTGCGACCGGAGGGAAGAGGGCACGCAGCGCATGGCAGCACGCAGGCCCCTCAGCTGGCTTCTGGGTGCAGAAGGCCCAGCATGCCAACCCTGGGGGCTGCGGTCCTGATGGGAGCCAAGAGGTTGCCTGGACCGGCGACCTTGTGTGAGGTCCTGAGGTGTGAGGGACAGCACTCCTGGCAGAGGCGATGGCAGAGGCCAAGGCCTGCGGTGGGCAGGCGCTCAGCATGTCCTGGGACGGGGATGGACGCAGCGCATGGGAGGAGCGTTGGTGTTCAGAGCGTGCACGCTCCTGTGCCGGGCGCGCAGTGCGTGGGTGGCACCCGTGGGCCGGATGGTCACCCAGCCATGGCAGGTCAGTCCTCACGTGCCTGGACGTGGCGCCCCGTGCCTGCAGGAAGAGCACCTGGGAGCTGGGCTGGGGCCGTGGCAGGGAGCGCAAGTGTGAGAGGTGCCCGCTGCTCAGTGTGAGGCTGGACTCGGCTCTCGGTGCCGGGAATGCATGGCGGGCTGAGAGAGGCCTTCAAGAGGTCACTGCAGACAGGGCAGCTTAGCCTTTCCGTGGCTGACAAGGCGTGGACTCTCAGTATAGTCTATAGGCATAAAATAGGCTGTGCCGGGCATAAGGCAGCCAGTGATCCTGAATCTTTGGGCCGTAGATCCCAGATCAAAAACCTCTAGGAGGCCAAATTCTGCCAGACAAGAGGCAAGGACTTGGGGAGGCTTCGGCTGAGCCGCGCTGCCTCTCCCCCCCCCCGCCCCGACCCCCCAGGGAACTGTGCAGGGCAGAGTCAGCATGCCAACACAGGGACCAGGAAACCGAGTGGAAATGCTGGGCCCATCGCCCTATCAGGGTTCAGCAGCAGGGAAGGGCTGAGGACCAGCCTTCTGGCCAGGCAGGCTGGAGGTCACTGTGACCTTGGCAAGGACGGTGCGGTGGTGCAGCAGAGGGGAGTGGGCCCAAGAGGTCCCTGGGAAGAACGGAGCAGCAGAGCGGTGTGCTTGTTGGGGGAGCAGAGAGACGGTCGGAGGCCAGTTCCTGGTGGGAGGACACTGGAGGGCCAGCCCAGCTGTCCCAGGCAGGTCTGCCTATCCCGCTCAGCCGCTGCTGGTCACTGAGCTGCTCTGTGCCGTGGTTCCTTCACCTGCAAAATGCCAACCACTTCCCAGGCTGGCCCCAGTAGCTTGGGTGTGATGGATCTCAGGGCCCAGCCCATGGCCACACCCCACAGGCAGGAGCCAATCTTTAGTAGCATCATCACTGCAGAGTTGCTGCCAGGGAGCTACCAGATGCTGCTTGGAGCAGTGCGGTGTGGAGCAGGCTGGCAGAAACTGGCACCTTGGGACAGGCGTGGTGGATGGATGCCTCGGTGCTGTGGGCCAGGGAGTTTGGGGCTGAGGGAGACTCGGAGTTGTACTTCCCTTAATGAGCACCTACTATCGTGGTGGGTAGACCAGCTAGACTTCCCCGTGGGATGTGCCTGTGACCTGGCAGACGGAAGGGCCTCCAGAGGGCTGGGGACACGCATGGTGCATGTGGGCTCTGAGTGCAGACTGAGACGGGGCTTGTGGTGGGAGCCAGAACAGAGGGAGCTGCATGGTGGACATTCAGGAAGTGGCTGGCCTGGTCTAGGTACAGCCATGAAGGCTGGAAAGGAGGTGGGGGAGTTCAGGATCTGAGGACTCAGAATGAAAGGATGTGGGTCTGCCCACAGAGTACGGAGCTGGCCTGCAGCAGGGTACAGTCAGGAGTGAGGACTGAGCTGGGAGACATGGCCGAGGAGAGCCAGGGGTCAGTGCGTCTTAAGGGTGAGAAACTTGTGGATTACCAGGATAAGGGGTGTGGTGAACAAAGTTCTGGTACCTGGAGTCCCAGGACAGAGCCAGGCTGAACGATCTCGTTTGAACCACACCTTGGAGCGCCAGTGCTCCTGCCTGTCCCTGTGCTCTGGGCAATCCCGCCAGCTCTCTTCCCCAGGCTGCTCATCTTTAAAACAAGGAGAGTAAAAATACCTTCCTTCCTAGACTGCCATGAAGAGTGAGAGGGTTTGTAGGCTAAAGTGGTGCTGCTGCTGAGATATCCTGTCCTTGTTCATTAGTAGGCAGAGACTCCACCGGGCCCCCGGGGAGACAGATCTCGAAAGCGGCAGGTGTAAGAGAGGAAACCCGGGCAGTTGGGGTTGTGTGTGCACATTCTGGAATAGAATGTTGGGAAGTGCTCAGAAGCAGGTGGGAGGGCCATACATACATGTATGTGGACATGGGAGCCTGTACATGCATGCATATGAGTATGTGTGCCACGTGTCCACTGGTGTGGGCACATGGCTGCACATATGTGCACATGTGTGTACGTGTATGCAGCACTGTGCATTGTATGGTTGTGACTATGTCTGGTGTGTGTGCCCATCTGTGTTCATTCACAGTGCAGTATGCTCATGCACATGTGTGCTACATTCGGTTATGGCATGTGCATGCACAACATACTGTATGTGTGTGCAGATTGTAGGTGCATTATGTAGTACTGTATGTATACCTATACAATGCAGCACAGGGCACATATGCATATTGCATACACTCAAGTTGTGCACGGCTGTGTGGCATATGTGTGTGTATGCATGAAGTGCATTGTGCATGCACCTATCCATGCATTCGGGGATGAAAATATGTGTGCACATGGTGTGTATGTGGTAATCGTGTGCGCACGTGTGTGCGTTAGGAGTGGGCTCTGTGCATGATTCCATCGGTGTCCTGATTGGAGGTGGCTGTTCAGGGCTGCGGGTCTTGTTTGGAGAGAGCACAGGGACCTGGCTGTGAACCATAGGAAGTAAGAGGCAGGTCTTCAGAGATGGGGTGTCCTGTAGTTGCCAAGCTCAGAGCCTGGAGCCCAGCCTGCTCCCAGAAGTCTGCTTGACCTGGGGAAGAGAAACAAGCTGAGCTTCGGTAGGGAGGCGGCTTTGTTCCGGAAGCAGCCATGTGTCAATTAGTGTACCATTCCTCATGCAGCCATGCTGTAGGCTCCCCAGTGGGGCTCCCCTGCCCCCGGGCGTGCACGGGGTGTGCCTCTGCCTGCGGCCCTCACCAGACACCTCGCTCAGACGACAGCTGCTCAGCTGGGCCTGCACTGATGAGCTGCTTAAAGCAGGGGGCTGGGCCTGAGCTCTGTGCCCCTCTGCCCCTTTCTAATGCTGTCACACCCTGTTCACGTTTGTCTGTGCCAAAGTGGGAGCTCTGCGCGGAGGGGACGGCGTCCACTCCTGGGTGTTTCTCTAGGATGTAGGACAGGGCCTGCACCGCGTCAGGCACTGGGGACGTGCTTCCACAGAGACACCAAGGCACACGCGGCGGGGTCACGTGGCAGAGCCAGCTAGTGCTGCCGCTCGGGCCTCTCAGGCAGTGAGCACCACTCGGCGGCAGCATGCAGGACGGACACGGCCAAGCGGCCAGCGAGTCTTCAGGAGGCAAAGCTGGGCAGGCTCTCACGCCCAGATCTCGCCCACTGAGTCCTGTGCCAGGGCCTCACTGCCGGTCGGGAGGGGGTGGGACTGCACACCTATCCCCATCCCCTGTGCTGAGCCTGGCCCAGCTAGGAGCCAGAAGGTGGCCTGGCCAGCCTGTGGCCCATTTTCAGCCCTGCCCCCACCAGGCCTTTCCAAATGCCACATGGCCACGTCACGCGTCAGATTCTGCAAGTCCTCCTCAGGCCAGAGCAACTGTCCTCCCTTCACCGCCCCCCCACCATGCTGCCAGCCCCGGCGCCCTCCCTCCATCGCCGCGTCCTCCCTGGCTCTGCATCTCTCCATCTCTGCCTCAGGAGAGATGGAGCATCTCTCTCAAGGGCTGCTTTAAATATTCATGTTTTAATTAGAGAACTTGATTGCAGAAGCGACATGTACCATCATCATCATAATAAAAAAAGTGTCCTGGGCAATGGAGTAAGTGTGTATATGTGTCTCTGTGTGTGTGTCTACTGTATGTGTCCCTTTGTGACCTTGACTGTATGTCTCTGTTTCTGTGTGCCTCCCTGTGTTTCCCTGTGTGTGTCTCTTTGTTTCTGTATGTGTGTACACATGCCCGTGGTGTGGGGCCGTGGGCGGTGCTGTGTGTCAGGGTGTGGACACATGCACACTCCGCTGGCGTTCAGGTTGGCTAGGGTGTGAGAGGCTTGACTGACCAGCAGGCTGATCTCCCCCCAGTGGGCCTCTTCTGGCTGATGACCTCTTCCCAGGGAGGCATGGTCTCCCCAGTCCCTGGACATGTGTCAGGGTCCGCTGGGGTCTGCAGACCCCGAAGCCGCCAGAACTGGAGTGCAGTCTCGGCTGTGGTGGAATTGTGGGCATGACAGAGAGCAGGCGTTGACTTGGCATCTGTCATCTCAGTGGGAGACTCGTTTGCCCAAGAGTCCAGGAGAATCTAGGAAGCAAGGTTTCTGTCCATGCAGACAGCTCTTTCTGTCCAGATGTTAAGAGCAGGGTAGGGATGATGGAAGCGTCAAGCATGCAAAATGCTGTTACAGAGAAATTCCCACATGCTCTCAGTCCTCAGCCAAACCCCCAGCCCTAGCTCAAGAGCCAGGCTCTGGTCATGTTATGGCCTGAATTTGGGTTCCACTTCCTAAAATCCTGGGCAGTCTGTGCCACCCGATCTGATAATGGAGGGGGCCTAGGAAGCACAATGATTTGCCCAGAATCCCAACAATGGCCTGGATTTCAGGCTTGTAAGCAGCAGCAGCATTCATGGGACGGACCCAGAAAAAGCGCAGCAAGCAATCCTGAGCCCCTGCAGATGTGGCTTGCTCTGGCTCAGCCAGCCTCGTGTTCCCTTCTGGGAAGTGGGGATGGAACAGACCCTGCTCATGGTCTGGGTCAGGCTTCAAGGGGATGGCTCTGGCAAGCTCAGGAGAGGACAGTGCTCAGCGAGGACTGAAAGCTCAGCTTCACGGCCCAGCCCGGGTCCGACGGCTTCCAGATCCAGGCAAAGAGCTGGGGGGGGGGGGGGGGGCAAATGAGGCCTTGGGATTTACCCCCTGCCCTGTCCTTGGTGGTCTTCCTTGCTGTTCATGCAGGGACTCCGGATCCAGCTCCCAGGTCCTCGGTGCAGAATCAGTCTGGGTTCTCTAGGACAGATGCCTGTTCAGGCTGCTGTCCCTGAGTATCTGGAGACCAGTAGCAATACACTGGGAGCTGACCAGCCACCCAGGTGCAGCCCAACCTGCTGGGCTTGGGAGCCCTCTGCCGGATGAGGGTGGTAGCACACATTTCCCCTCCAAAGGGGATCCTGGAAACCCAAGGGGCCTCCCAGAGGGGAACTCCTTCCTTCTATGCCCCCATTTCATCCCATGGAGGCTACCAGATCTGGGAAGCCCACCATCTCTAGGCCCAAGCACTAGGGTGGGAAGAGCACCCAGCTCCCCTTCACTGGGCACCCTCACTCCTGGGTGGCCAGCCAGCCTGCCTGGCGGCCGATAATTGGCTCTATTCATCCCCATAATAAGATGGAAATGAGGCTTCCAGACAGAGGGGGCATTGAGTGGGGGAAGAATGGCAGCTTCTTTCCGGGTCTGGAGGGGCGGCCTACCCCCAGCCCTGCCCCCTTGCGGCCCACCGAGGCCCGATGCACCTCTGTGTCCCCCGGTGCCCTGCACTGTGGGCCCCAGGACTTCTTCCTGCTAACTCCCCTCCTGGCACGGGTGCACTTGCTCAGCAAACATTTATTGAGTATCAGCTGTGTGTGAGGACACACATTAGAATTGAAAATGATAGCAGTGACCATTTTCTGAGCATTCATTACTGGAGGGAGCGTGGCCAAGGTTAGGAATCAGCATGTGACTGAAATCGGGGCTTAGTACGTGAGCAGGCTCAGAGACCCTCTGCTTGGGATCAGGGGTCAGTCTGTGATGAGGATCAAGGCTCAATGTGTGATCATGAATCGGTGTTATGTTTGGGACCAGAGTTCGGTGTGTAATCAGGGTCAGGGCTTCTATGTGACCTGGACCTGAGGGGGGCCTCCTCCGAGCCAGGGTCCCCCTCCCCACTCTCTTCTCATACGCTCCGCCTCTTCTCCCATCCCCCTCCCACATCCTTACCACCTGGGTCACCAAGGTAACCAGCCCCGAAATAGTGGGTGTTTTGGCAGCTGAGGCCTAACCTGGGTCTATCCTGAAAGGCTGCGCTCTGCAGTGGTTGCCATGGGAACTGAGTGGCATCTTCCGATTAGCCTGGCTTGGACACCCTTTCTCTCTCCCACCCACTGCCGCCAGTCTCCACATCATTCAGGCTTCCTCGTGGGGGCTGGGCCAGGGCAGCCAGGAGGGCACAGGCAAGCAGGATGTACTCCCTGGACCTTCCTCTGCGATCACAAGATGGGATGCTGTAGCAGGTGAGATTCCTGAGGCGGCGAGCAAGCACGCGCCTGGACCACGGTCAGTCCTGGCAGGTGGCCTTCCTGAGGGCTAGGGGGTGGGGCTCTGGAAACTGATCTGGTTCAAGATCTGGAATCTGACCTGGTTCAAATGTGGCTCCCGATTGTCCTGAGTTGAGGCACGTGACCACACACCCTCAGAGCCAGCCACCTGGGCCTGTTCTGTGGGCAGCTGCTGCCCAGTCCTGTCCTGTGCTCACATGGAGGCCTTGCTGAGGACGGCCAGCCTCAGCCCGAGCTCTGCCCTGGGTGTGGGTGGCTGTCCCTGTGCCCGTCTCCCTCAGGCTGTCGGTGTTTGCAGTGGAGAGGAAATGAGAGTGATGTCGTTTTCCCCACATCTGTCTTTTATTCAGTCCTTGAGCCCCTGAACCCCCACCTCTGCACCTTGCTGGAGTCAGATCTCAGGCAAATGTCCCCTTACCTGGCCCTTGCCACGGGGACACCCTGCTCCCAGCCTTGGTTTCCTTTGTTATAAATGGGTAGACCTGTGTCTTGTGTTGATGGTCTGGGAGTTGGGGGCCCAGTGCCGGGTCCTCGGCACAGGACAGAGCTCATGCTGTGGGTCGGGGAGGCACCCCTGGATGCCTTTCAGGGAGCTTTTCTTGAAGGGTGGGCTGGGGCATGACACCGTGGCACAATTCCTGCTTAGCCTCTTCCTAGCTGAGAATGTAGGTCTCTTATTTGCCTCCCTTAGCAGGCTCTGTTTTCCTCTGGCAAGTAGGAGTGGGGGGGTCTCCTTGTAAGAGGGGTGTCCCACCCCAAGTGAGGAGGGGCTCAGAACCTTCGCCTGAGCCTATACATGGGCTGCATCCCACAGGTACGTTACGCTCGGTGCAGGGATTGCTAGGATTGACAGGTCTGGCCCTGCAGCCCTAACCCCGCCGCTGCTCTGCATCTCTGGAGTCCATGGGGCCATCATGGCTCCTGGAGGAAAGGGAGAGGGGAAGTTGCTACCACAGGTGTGTGTGGGAGGGGGGAGGACGTCAAAGATGCCGGTTCCTCCCTGCCCACCCCAGTGGGGAGGAGGAGTTCCGTTGGTGACCATGATTTCCTCTCCTACCTCCAGCTACTTGCCTCAGCGCCCCCTGCTGGCGTAGCCCGAGCACAGGCAAGGGATGGGCAGACTAGCTGTATCTCAGTGCAGGCACCGTGGCAGATCAACTCAGACCTAAACCACCATACCCATGCCCTGCCCTTCCCAAGACCTTGCTTGCTGTTTGTCCTCCTGCTGGTCTGATGAGGGGTATCTGCTGCTGTCCTCAGGCAGAGGGGTGTGAGGCAGGGAGGTGACTCAGGACCCATCAGGGAGGGGGCTGTCCGCTCCCTGGAAAACATCCCACTGCCCCATTATTTGCCTTTCCCCCTACCCCAAATAAGACTGAGGCACTGGGGTCCTCTGACTGCCAGGAGTGCTCTCTCTGGGGTGGACAGAGCAGTTTGCTCTTGATGCCCCAGCAGGCAGTAATGGGTGGTAGCCTCAGCGGTCCTGGCCTCACAGGGGTGGCAGGGGTGGGGGCCAGAGCACAGGCCAGAGGCCTCTGTCCTTGTCAGACTGCTCCCTGCTGTTGGTCCCTGGTGGTGCTCAGGGCTGTGGGCCTAGATTGTCCTCAGTGTTCTTAGAGGTTCAGGGCCACCAGGGACTCACACTGTGTTTAGAAGCGTGGCTGTGAGGGGACCAGATGGTGGGGGTGGCGGCTGGGTGAGGCTGTGGGGTGGGGCCCGGGGCCTTCCTCCTGGGCTCTTCCAGCCGTCAGCTCTCTCTGCCTGGTCTAAGGGAGGACTCTGCCGGCTGGGCAGCGGGATGTGGGTCTTTGATGGGATGTGTGGGGCCGGGTGGCTCACAGGCCACAGAGGAGGTAGGGGTGCAAGGCCAGCCAGATTGAGGAGTGCCAGCAAGTGGGAACAGGAGGGCCTGGTCAGGTGCTGCTCCTCACCGGCACTCGGTGGCCTGAGCAGCCGTGCGTGTGAGTGTGTGTGTAAAACCAGTTCACCAACCTACCTGGGGCTGCACTGGGACCTCGGGGCTCTGGGCTGACCTGAGTTCCCCAGAGGACGCCCTGGGTTGGGGGCGCCACTCCCTGCTCTCCCCCTCCCCCGCCGGCCTCTGCTGACACCTGTGCTAACCCACGCCCTGTCCCCCATCCCACGGCCCTCTGGCCCTGACCCCCACCCTTGGTCTCCCCAGGTGGCTGGAAGCTGTGGTCGCTGTGGGGCGAGTGCACGCGGGACTGCGGGGGAGGCCTGCAGACGCGCACGCGCACCTGCCTGCCTGCGGCGGGCGTGGAGGGCGGCGGCTGCGAGGGGGTGCTGGAGGAAGGGCGCCTGTGCAACCGCAAGGCCTGCGGCCGTGAGTGCGCGGGGCGGGGCCTGAGGACGGGGGCGGGGCGAGGCCCAGCAGAGGCAGGCGGAGAGTGGCTGCGGGGAAGGGAGTGGGAGGGGCCCTAGGGTGTGTGGGGCCTCACAGGGTTGGGGGCGGAGCCTCGGGGGGTGGAGCCTGGCCAGGTCTGGTAAATGAAGACTGCCCACGGCGGGTTGGGATTTTGGGGGGTGCACCCCTCCTCTTCTTCCCCACCCGGGAGCACTGGCCAGGCCAGCCCGCTCCAGCCGGATAGGGCCTCCAGAATGTATATCTCTAATAAGGCTTTCTAATGACCTCATGCATTTTTTAGCGGCTCCCATAAAGTTAAATCAAGCCCCTTAATGAGACTGTCACTCTTTGGGTTGTTTCTCGGTGATGAACTTTCCCGGGGAGCAGCTGGTCGGCGGAGCCCGGGAGGCCCGTGGGCAGGGGCAGGGGCAGGTGGGGGCCTCCGCCGGGCCGTCCCGCAGGTGTCCACAGCCCGTGGAGGCCCACAGCACGGGGCTGGGGCCGAGCGGGGCCTCTCGCCCGAGCCCTAGCCTGGTAGAGCCAGGCAGCCCCGGAGCCGTGGCTGGGGACAGAGGGGACCCCGTGGGGACACTGACCTGAGCCCATCCCGCAGCCGCGGGGCGCACGAGCTCCCGGAGCCAGTCCCTGCGGTCCACGGACGCCCGGCGGCGCGACGAGCTGGGAGACGAGCTGCAGCAGTTCGGATTCCCCTCCCCGCAGACCGGTGAGTGGCGCGGTGGGCCGGGCTGGGTTGCGGGACCGGGCTGGGGGAAAACACGCTAAGTTGGTAATTGCTGCTAATTATCAGTAATAACTTTAATAACTTGCCGTAATTAGACCCACTCCGCAGCCTGCCTGTCTCCAAGCAGACTGGCATTAGGGGAGCCGGTGTGAGCCGGAGTGGCCCAATCTGGCCCGCTGGAGAAATGGGCGGTCCTCGAGGCCAGCCCGCGGCCGGCCCGGCGCCGCCCCGTGGGCCATGGAATGGCGGGCTGGTGATGCAGCAGGCCTGGGCCCACAGGTGACCCGGCGGCCGAGGAGTGGTCCCCGTGGAGCGTGTGCTCCAGCACCTGCGGCGAGGGCTGGCAGACCCGCACGCGCTTCTGCGTGTCGTCCTCCTACAGCACGCAGTGCAGCGGGCCCTTGCGGGAGCAGCGGCTGTGCAACAACTCCGCAGTGTGTCCAGGTGGGCGGGGCCGGGCCGCGGGGCGGGGCCTGAGGGCGGGGCGGGGCCAGGGCTGCAGGAAGGGTGGAGGCCGTGGGCGGGGCAAGGTCCGTCGGGGGCGGGGCTGTCAGGTGGGAGTGGGCGTGGCTTCAACGGGCAGAGTGGGCGGGGCAACAGAGCCTTCTTTGCCCCTTTGTAGTGCATGGTGCCTGGGACGAGTGGTCACCCTGGAGTCTCTGCTCCAGCACCTGTGGCCGCGGCTTCCGGGACCGAACGCGCACCTGCAGGCCCCCACAGTTTGGAGGCAACCCCTGTGAGGGGCCTGAGAAACAAACCAAGTTCTGCAACATTGCTCTGTGCCCTGGTAGGTGAGAGGGAGGGGTTAGGGGGGAGGGAGGGCCAGCACCTGGACTCGGCCTGGCTCATCCCAGACCTACCCGGAGCCCGCTGGGCCTCGGCTGGGGGTGCTGACGCTTGTGTCTAGGCTGAGTGTTGGGTGGTGGTCCCCTGGGGGTGTAGACCTGTGTCCCAGGCTGGACCGCTGGGTTGCTGGGTGTTCACAAGGCTTCCTCACCTTCCTTCCCCGGGCCGGGCAGTGGATGGAAACTGGAACGAATGGTCGAGCTGGAGCGCCTGCTCCGCCAGCTGCTCCCAGGGCCGGCAGCAGCGCACCCGGGAGTGCAATGGCCCCTCCTACGGGGGCGCCGAGTGCCAGGGCCACTGGGTGGAGACTCGAGACTGCTTCCTGCAGCAGTGTCCAGGTCAGAGCACCTGCCTGGCAGTGGGTGGCCCTCCTGGGGGGGTGGCTGTGGGTTGGGCTGCAGGGTGGGAGTGGAGGGCAGGGGGTTGAAGGTTACCACCGCACAGGAGGTGTTCCTTTCTGCTCTGTGGAAGCTAACTTCGGGCTTCTCTCCTTGTCTCCGTTTTCTTTCCCCACTGGTTCCCCCGTGTCTCTGTGTGTTTCCCATGTCTGGTTCCCCACGGTCCTGTGTCCCTGCACCCCTCCCTCCTGTCACCTGCGACCTGCACCTGGGGGTATGGGTGTCCCCGCAGTCGATGGCAAGTGGCAGGCCTGGGCATCGTGGGGAGGCTGCAGCGTCACGTGTGGGGGTGGCAGCCAGCGACGAGAACGTCTCTGCTCTGGGCCCTTCTTCGGTGGAGCAGCCTGCCAGGGCCCTCAGGATGAGTACCGGCAGTGTGGCACTCACCGCTGTCCTGGTGAGACCTGGCCCATACCACACAGGGCTCTAGGAGGAGGCTGGGGGCAGTGGGGTAGCTTTGCACTTAGTTACCGCAGACATCTTGGCCTTTCTGAGACCTTTGCCAGCTCCTGGCCCCAGCCCTGCTCATTGTCTTGCCCCCCCCCTGCCCCCCAGAGCCCCATGAGATCTGTGATGAGGACGGTTTTGGAGCAGTGGTCTGGAAGGAGACTCCAGCTGGAGAGGTGGCTACAGCCCGGTGTCCTCGCAACGCTACAGGTGAGAGGGTGATGTGGGCTCCCGTCCTGCCTCGGGGCGGCGCTACTGCTCCTGTGTGAGGCCTGAGGCCCAGGCAGCCCCACTCTGTGGGTGCCAGGGGACAGGGGCCGGAGTGAGTGGCAGCCACGGTGTTGGGTGTTTACCCAGGGCAGGGCCCATGCCGAAGCCTCTACATGAGACATTCCCTTGATCCTCTAACCCATGAAGTAGCCACTGTTGTCCATTTACTGGTGAGAAACCGAGGCAGGAAAGTCAACATACTCTAGGCTTGTGTGGATTGGGAGAAGCGTCCCTTGAACACCAGCAGCCTGAATCCCTAGATCAACTCTGCGGAGTGACGGGCACGCTTGGGCTTCCCAGAAGAGGCTTGGCTGTAGCTGCATGGATCTTCATTACTCTTCCTATTTGAGTGGGTACAGGTAGCTTGTGTACCCGAGAGACTACAGACAAGGAGATTGGCTCTGTCCTTGTTTCTTATGTGGCCTGGGTGCTGGGCTCTCAGGGACTCCGGATTGGGGGGGAGGGCCCTGAGAGAGGGCCTGGCTGGGCTCTGGGCCCCCAGGAGCTTGGTGGAGAGCTCCACCTCTGTGCAGTGTGGTCCTGGAAGGCTTGATGCCTGCTGGGTCCCCAGCATCTGGAGCAGCTCAGAAATGAGTGGCAGGAAGGGGAGAAGGCCAGCCTGGCACTGCTTCTGGGGGCTGGAGGATCCTGAGCAGAGCTGCTGGCCTGGGAGCTGTGAGTGGGCCCTGTGTTCAGCGGTGAGTGTCCTCCTGAAAAGCCAGAGGTCTCCGCAGGCCTCATCCTGCGCCGCTGTGAGCTGGACGAGGAGGGCATCGCCTACTGGGAGCCGCCCACCTACATCCGCTGTGTCTCCATCGACTACCGCAACATCCAGATGATGGTGAGTGCCTCCCCGCCTGCACCGGGGACTGTCCCACCCAGCGCGAGGGTGCAAGGCGGGGCTGCCGAGGCTCCTGCGCCCCCTGCACCGTCCCGGAAGGGATGTGCATCCCATCCTCCCCGTCCTCCGCAGACCCGTGAGCACCTGGCCAAGGCTCAGCGCGGGCTGCCAGGGGAGGGGGTGTCGGAGGTCATCCAGACGCTGGTGGAGATCTCCCAGGATGGGACCAGCTACAGTGGGGATCTGCTGTCCACCATTGACGTCCTGAGGAACATGACTGAGATCTTCCGGAGGGCCTACTACAGCCCCACCCCCGGGGACGTGCAGGTGGGCTCCCGGTGACCGTCCATGGAGAGGAGTGCTGGGAGGTGGTTAGGGAGAGCCGTGCCAGACCCTGTCCATGAGCAGGGCTGTGGCCTGCCAGAGCAGTGAGCCCCGAGCCTAGACCAGCTTGAGCTGGCTCCCACGGAGCCCTTACCCTGCTCACATGCTGAACCCTGGTCCTTGTGTCACGCTGGGCCCAGACCCTGCGCCCTGACCGTGAAACATTTCACACGCATACCTCGCTCTCTCTCCCTGGCCCTTTTTCTCATTTCCAGAACTTTGTGCAGATCCTTAGCAACCTGCTGGCGGAGGAAAACCGGGACAAGTGGGAGGAGGCACAGTTGGTATGGACGGGGCCCCAGGGCTCTCGTGGTCAGCTGTGTCCGGATGGGCGTGGGCATCCTGGTGCCTCCCTAGGTCCTAGGCCAGCCACGTGGGGCCTCACTGAGAACTACAGTGTCTCTGGGTCTGGACCCCAGCATGGCGGCCTTCCGCCGACTGCGTGACGTTGAGCCACTTTACCTCCTGTGTGGAGGATGGTGGCCTGTCCCTGGGCTGAGTGAGGCAAGCAGGAACTGATTGAGTGTGACGTGCATGTCCAGATAGCCGGCCACGGTGGGCCTTCCTTACTTGTGAGGGGAGGCCAGCCTCCCTTCCTCCCAGGCTGACCCAGGCCTGCCACCACATCCAGCATCCAACCCCAGAACTGTGCCAGACGTGGAGCCCCGGAGATCCTGACCCTGCTCCCAGCCTAGGAAATCCCATGTGGGAGCACACAGCCCCGGGGGCTCCAGTGGTAGTGTCCACAGAGCATGGCAGTCAGAGAGCCCTGTCCCTGCCTCTGGCACTGGTTCATCACCAGCAGGGTCCACAGAAAGGGAACATCGGAGGGAAAGGAGGCCCAAGGGACCCCAGCTGGGGTGCAGGTGTCCCCCCCTCAGCTCTGGCTGCTCCCCTAGATGGGCCCCAACGCCAAGGAGCTCTTCCGGCTGGTGGAAGACTTTGTGGACGTCATTGGCTTCCGCATGAAGGACTTGAGGGACGCATACCAGGTGACAGACAACCTGGGTAAGCCTCCCTCGCTCTCCAGCCTCTCCCCCCCAGCCCCCCAGCTCTGCCTCCCTCGCTCTCCGCCCCCACCATGCCCTCGTTCTGTCACCCTGGACAGGGATTCTGTGTCACTTTCCTCATGGATACCAGGGTGGGGTCAGGGGGACCACCAACCCTGTGGGGCCTCTGGAGCCATGTCTTACATCTCACAGCCTGTGTCTTGTTTCTGTTGTCTCTTGAGGGCGTGTGGTGGGAGCTGGAGGTGGAGCTGAGGCCCAGGCAAGGGTTTGGGGACTTCTCATGGGGGGAGGGGAGAGGGGAAATAGGAGCCCCGCCTACAGTTGGGGACTCACCCCCACCTAACATGGAGCAGTCTGCAGCCTCAAAAGCCTTGCTGGGGGTTCTGGACCTCCCTGACCCATGGCCTCAGCCAGGTCTATTTCCTTTTGGGGGTCTAATTGTGCCCACCTTCTGGGTTCAGGATGATTGGCTAAGTTAAGAAGCTTGGGGGGGGGCGGGGCTGGGAAGGTGGCTCAGTGGTAGAATGCTTGCCTTGCATGCATGAGGCCCTGGGTTTGATTCCTCAGCACCACATAAGCAAAAAGAGAAAAAGCTGGAAGTGGCGCTGTGGCTCAAGTGATAGAGCGCTAGCCTTTAGCTGAAAAGCTGAGGGACAGAGCCCAGGCCCAGAGTTCAGGCCCCACAACTGGACCCCCCCCCCCAAAAAAAAAAGCTGAGTGGTCCTTACAGACACACGCACAATTCCACCGTCTTCCCCTCGCCTTCTCACATCTCCTGCCTTGGCCAGAGACCTTCCTACCCGCCCCTACCCCACACAGGGGACCTGGGAGAGGGCCCTGACCCCAGCTGTGAACCCAAAAACCCCAAGGAGGTGTTTGCCTCTCTCACGGGGAGACAGATTGTCTGAACCTTGGAGGAATACCCTAGGCCTCTCCCCAGTCCAGCCCTGTGTTAAGGTACTGCGGCAGCGGACACAGCTGCACTGGGCAGGTGTTTCCTAGGCAGAAAGTCTGGTGCTATACTCTGTCTGCCTTAGGAGCTCAGGGTTCAGACCCTTCAGGAGCCTTCGAGGCTGTGGAGAGCAGCCTCATTCCTGAGGGACCATACCAGACACTGTGGGGGCCACCTGGAAAATAGGCCAGCGGAGCTACAGCCTGGAGCCACCGTTCTGCCCTTTGCCTAGCACCGTCCATGCTTCCGGAGGGGCCTACCTGCCTTCCAGAGCCTTCCCTGGATGGACAGACACTCAGGGACACCTTTGGTGACCACAGGAGGCCTGGGCTCCTCTTAGTACCTGTGTACCCTGAATTCCATGCGCCCATGCAAGCTCTTCTCCCCTTCCCCACTTACCTCATGGACCCCATGATCCCTGCCCACCTGCCGTGTCTGTCCCTCCACTCATCCCCCGAGCTACCCATTCATCAACAGAAGGCTCTGCCTCCAGCTCCTCCCTCCTGCTCTTCTAGGGCTGTGGCACCCCCCTGTCCTGGATGGTTCTTTTGTCCACTGAACGCTCTGCTGGAGCCCAGGCTCCACTGGCCTTTCCCTCTGGGCCTCTGCTGGGGCCTCACTCTCTCAAGGCCTTAAGCAGTATCACATCGATGATGTGTCTGTGGCCTGGACCTCCCTGGATCCAGACACCGGGGCTCCTGTGCTCCTGTGTCTGTGGGCATCCCTGTGAGCTGTGCAGTCAGGACTCAGGAGCTGCTCCCCCTGGTGGGCAGAATCGGGAAGTCCCCTCCCTTCCTCCCTCTGAGCTACCCTTGGGGCCCACACATTTCGGGGTGGTAGATGTGGCCTGTCAGGAACTGGTGGCCACAGGGAAGGGGTGACATCTCCACGCTGGGTAGTCAGGAAGTCCTGCCTGCAGGGCAGGTGACAAGATAAAGACCCGAGGATGGGTACAAGGGTTGAGAGTCAGGAGGTAAACAGCCAGGAGAAGCAGAGGAGGAAGGAAGAGGCCGCAGTACAGGGTCAGGGGTCAGATGAAGACAGGAAGTGGAGTTAGGACAGTACACGGGGAGGGACTGCCCTGCTCAGGGTGGAGCAGGTCTGAGGCTGATACAGGCTGGGGACTGGATAGGCTGAAGCCCGAGGCCCAGGGATGGATTCCCCGCCCCCCCCCCCCCCCGCCCCACAGAGGCCAGCTGGTTTCATGCTTCCCTACGCTCTCCTCCTGCTGCCCCCTCCCACCTCGAGCAGAGACCCCCACACCCGATGTCCTTTTTCCCAGAGGGCCAAGTCTGGCTCCTCCCATCCCACTTCCACAACATTGCTTTGTATTGGTCTTGCCCTATGATGCAGTGTCTCCTCCATCCTGCACAGAGTAGACCTGGTAACCCACCTCTGACCCCTTCCTGGATACAGGGGGCTCTAGGCCCTTGCTTGCCTCCTGGAATAGGGGCTGCACAGTGAGTTTAGGGAGCTATGCACATGGAAGTTGAGGGCCCAAGGCTGCAGTGGAAGCTGGAGCATCACGGTTGGTACTGGACTGGCCAGGCAACCCCTACCCCTCACCAGTGCCCCCTACCGACCTGCTCCCTGGCTCTGCAGCTTCTGGCATTTGACCCTCCGTCTCTGTCTCTCCTCCGCCCTGCCCCAGTGCTTAGCATCCACAAGCTGCCAGCCAGCGGGGCCACTGACATCAGCTTCCCCATGAAGGGCTGGCGGGCCACAGGCGACTGGGCCAAGGTACCAGAGGACAGAGTCACTGTGTCCAAGAGTGTCTTCTCCACAGGGCTGGCAGGTAAGGCCCAGGAGTGGGAGGGGCCTCTAGGGGGCAGTCATGGGCCCCAATCTGAGCAGCCCTCTGCTGCCTGTGAGTGTCAGGAGGCAACCCTGACAGGAAGCCCTCCCTGGGGGCAGAGCCTAGGACGGGTAACTAGCTAGACAGGGTGGACAGACATGTAGCCTGCTGCAAGGAGGGGAAGGGCTGGGTGGACCACATGGTAGCAGGCATGCCTGTCCCCAAGCCTGTGCCCCTCCCCATCTGGGCCTGCATTCTCAGCAGGCTCTGGTACAGTGCTCCACTTGGGGGTGGGATGGGCCCCTGTGGCCGGGGCCATCATGTGACCCCATGAGGCCAGCGAGGCAGGGTCAGGGTGACTGGGTGCTCCCTTCCAGAGGCGGATGACTCGTCTGTGTTCGTGGTTGGCACTGTGCTCTACCGGAACCTGGGCAGCTTTCTGGCCCTGCAGAGGTGGGTGATGGGGTAGGGGGAGGCTGGGAGACCAGGGGAAGCGTAAGAGAGAATGGAGGGCCAGGCATGGCCCTGGGAAGGCAGTCTGGGCATGGCGGTGGCAGGTGCAGGACCTCTGCCGCATGGGGGGCAGGGGCCCGGAGGGGACAGCCTAGGGAAGGCCGCAGGGCCAAGCAGGCCAGTGCCTGATGGCTGCTGCTGTGTTCTGCACCAGGAACACGACTGTCCTCAACTCCAAGGTCATCTCGGTGACGGTGAAGCCTCCTCCTCGTTCCCTGCTCACGCCCTTGGAAATCGAGTTTGCCCACATGTACAACGTGAGTGCCTCCTCCCCGACCCCACGTGCGGTGTGTGTGCCCTTTGCCCGTGCCCCATCTCTGCCCCATGTATGATGTGCTGCCCCCACCTGTACCCCACGTTTGGCGTGCGTGGCCCCCACTTGTACCCACATAGAGCGTGAGGGCCCACTGCCAATATACCCTCGTGTGCGCACACACATCGTAGCACCTCTGTCTGGGCCTGTGGGGGGTCTGCTCTCGGTTCAGTCACCACCTGTGGTATCTTAGCCTGGCTGGGTGGTGGAAGGGAAACTGAGGCTTGGAGTGCTGCAGTGACCCACACAGTGGGTGCGAGTGTTGACATGCACCTTGTCTGTCGCAGCATCCAAGCTTTAGCCACACAGCCACTGCCACAGACCTGTCCCCCTGCTGTCCCCTTGGGAAACAGGCCCAGTGTCTGCCCAGACAGGGCTCCTGTCTGAGTTCACAGCCCCTCTGCTGGGCCCCCTGACCTACGACCCAAGAGCTGTGGGCCAGGCCCGGCCTCCTCACCCGAGGCTCTCGCTGCCCTGGACGCTCAGTTTTCTGTGTCCAGAGTGTCCTCAACCCGATCCCCAGGCTGGCTGACCACCAGACTTAACCATGCAAGGCCTCGGTGTGCATTCCAGGACATTGCTGTGTGGCCCAACCAGACATGAGGACATGGCTGTGATTCCAGAGAGGCATGGGTCCCATCAGCCTTCCCCAGGGCCTCAGGAGGGCGACAGAGAGGTGCCTGCAGCCCAGGTGCCCTGGCCCTCGATGAGCTCAGCCAGAACCCACCGGGGGCCAGATGCCCAGGTCGCCCGGCCAGAGCAGGGCAGTGCCAGGTGGCACACCCTAGCTGTGGGAAGCTGTGGGATTCAGCTCTGTCCCTTCGGTGACTCGGGGGCGTTGCTCAGCCTCCCTGCCCCTGTTCCCTTGATCATCAAATGTGTGAGGGCCGGGCACTTCCTGTACCAGGAGCGTGTGCAGAGCAGGTGTGAGCATGTGCAGAGCAGGTGTGAGCCTGTGCAGAGCGGGTGTGAGCGTGTGCAGAGCATGTGCAGAACGAGTGTGAGCATGTGCAGAGCAGGTGTGTGTGCAGAGCGGGTATAAGCGTGTGCAGAGTGGGTGTGAGCAGGTGCAGAGCGGGTGTGAGCATGTGTAGAGCAGGTGTGAGCGTGTGCAGAGCAGGTGTGAGCAGGTGCAGAGTGGGTGTAAGCATGTGTAGAACGGGTGTGAGTGTTGCAGAACAGGTGTGAGCGTGTGCAGAGCGGGTGTGAGCATGTGCAGAGGGTGTGAGCGGTGTAGAGCGGGTGTGAGCATGTGCAGAGCAGGTGTGTCTCCAGAGTGGGTTTGAGTGTGCAGAATGGGTGTGAGCATGTGCAGTGGGTGTGAGCAGGTGTAGAGCAGGTGTGAGCGTGTGCAGAGCGGGTGTGAGCATTGCAGAGCGGGTGTGAGTGTGTGCAGAGTGGGTGTGAGCGTTGCAGAGTGGGTGTGAGTGTGTGCAGAGCAGGTGTGAGCGTGTGCAGAGCGTGTGCAGAGTGGGTGTGAGTGTGTGCAGAGCGGGTGTGAGCATGTGCAGAGTGGGTGTGAGCGTTGCAGAGCGGGTGTGAGCGTGTGCAGAGTGGGTGTGAGCGTTGTAGAGTGGGTGTGAGTGTGTGCAGAGCAGGTGTGAGCGTGTGCAGAGCGGGTGCAGAGTGGGCGTGAGTGTGTGCAGAGCGGGTGTGAGCGTGTGCAGAGCGGGTGTGAGCGTTGCAGAGCGGGTGTGAGCGTGTACAGAGCGGGTGTGAGCGGGTGTGAGCGTGTGCAGAGTGGGTGTGAGCGGGTGTGAGCGTGTGCAGAGTGGGTGTGAGCGGGTGTGAGCATTGCAGAGCGGGTGTGAGCGTGTGCAGAGTGGGTGTGAGCGTTGCAGAGTGGGTGTGAGTGTGTGCAGAGCAGGTGTGAGCGTGTGCAGAGCGGGTGCAGAGTGGGCGTGAGTGTGTGCAGAGCGGGTGTGAGCGTGTGCAGAGCGGGTGTGAGCGTTGCAGAGCGGGTGTGAGCGTGTACAGAGCGGGTGTGAGCGGGTGTGAGCGTGTGCAGAGTGGGTGTGAGCGGGTGTGAGCATTGCAGAGCGGGTGTGAGCGTGTGCAGAGCGGGTGTGAGCGTTGCAGAGCGGGTGTGAGTGTGCAGAGCAGGTGTGAGTGTGTGCAGAGTGGGTATGAGCATGTGCAGAGCGTGTGTGAGCATGTGTGAGCGTGTGCAGAGCGGGTGTGAGCGGGTGTGAGCGTGTGCAGAGCGGGTGTGAGCGTGTGCAGAGAGGGTGTGAGCATTGCAGAGTGGGTGTGAGCGCGTGCAGAGCAGGTGTGAGCATGTGCAGAGCGGGTGCAGAGTGGGTGAGTGTGTGCAGAGCGGGTGTGAACGTTGCAGAGCGGGTGTGAGCGTGTACAGAGTGGGTGTGAGCGGGTGTGAGCGTTGCAGAGCGGGTGTGAGCGTGTGCAGAGCGGGTGTGAGCGTTGCAGAGTGGGTGTGAGTGTGTGCAGAGCAGGTGTGAGCGTGTGCAGAGCGGGTGCAGAGTGGGTGTGAGTGTGTGCAGAGCGGGTGTGAGCATGTGCAGAGCGGGTGTGAGCGGGTGTGAGCATGTGTAGAGCAGGTGTGAGCCTTGCAGAGCGGGTGTGAGCGTGTGCAGAGTGGGTGTGAGTGTGTGCAGTGTGGGTGTGAGCGTGTGCAGAGCGGGTGTGAGCGGGTGTGAGTGTGTGCAGTGCGAGTGTGAGCATGTGCAGAGCGGGTGTGAGCAGGTGTGAGCGTGTGCAGAGCGGGTGTTGCCAGTTCACGCCTCACCAGCCGCGGGCTGGCAGGGCACCGTGCAGGCATGCTCTCTGGTTGCACTTGCTGGACTGGGAACTTGAGCTGTCCTGGGTGTCCACTCAGCCCCTGCTGTGGGCCTCCTCAGCCCTCCCTCACCCTGGTGAGGGGCAGTGTTGGACGGCTTTAGCCATGTGGACAGGAGGCTCAAGGCCTCACTGTGGCAGTGGGTGGCCATGCCTCCCTAACCTTGGTCTAGTCCGGTCTCCCCGGGACCAGCACAGGCAGTGTGCCTGGTATGCTTGTGGACACCCGGGCAGTAGCCCAGCCCCTGGGGAGAGGGCAGGCGGGCACATACTTTGGTGGCCCTGACTTCCCCTTCTCTCCCAGGGCACCACCAACCAGACCTGTATCCTGTGGGACGAGACAGACATGTAAGTTCACAGGGCCTCGTGCCAAGGGGCTGTGTGGCGGTGCCGTGGGGGTGGGGGTTTAAGTTGTGGGGCCCTGGCCCCTCTCCCCCATCTCTCTATGTGCTCTGGCAGTTCTCACTGCTTTCTGCTCTTGAGCTGGTGGCCTGCCTCCAAACCCACCCTGCAGGGTGGTTGGATCCCACCCGCGGACCTGTCCTGCCCAGAGCAGTCCAATGCTGGTGTTCGGTGGTGAGTGCTAGGCACAGAGAAGCTAGGAGGTAGCTGCTAGGACGGGTGGCCTAGAGGAGGAGCTGAGACTCACCAGAGTGACCGGCTAGGCGCCCTTGCTGGGTGCCTGCAGCCTGGCCCTGGCCCTCAGCCCTTGTGAAGCACCTTATAAGTACCGGCTGGCCTGCCTGGGTGGGAGGCCGAGCCATGTGTGGAGCTGGGAGTTGGGATATTGGATCACAGGGAGGGCAAGGGGAGGGGGAGGGACCTTTTGGAGGGATGGACAGGGCCAAAAGAGCTCCCCAGGAGACCAAGAGGGCCAAGAAGTGTGGAGCTTTCCAGAGTGCACAGGGGCTGGGCACCCAGGCTTTGCGAGTACAGGGACGGTGCAGTGGGGTGGGGTGGCGCCACCTGCCTGCCTAGGTTTGAACTGAGGACCTGGAACTTGCTCAGCTATTGTTCTTGGGCTGGAGCCCTGTCTACAGCCTGGATTCTTGCTTGATTGTTGATGGTGGAGGCTCACTGACTTTTGTCCTGACTGGCTTTGCATCTCAGTCCTCTGGATCTCAAACTCCAGAGTAGCTAGTACTGTAGATGTGAGCAGTGGGAGCCCAGCCCTGCCCCTGGGTCTTCTCCAGGCTAGAGAGGATGTGAGTATGCCAGGTGACTCTGGAGCTGTGTGCTGTGCGGGTCAGCTTCCCTGGTGCTTGGCGTGGAGAGGAGAGGCCTAGCAGAGGGAGGCCGTGAAGGGGAGGGGTTCTTGGGCCTAGTGTCCTGGGAGATAGAAGCTGTTGGGAGGTCTGACCCTGTGAAGCCTGGGCCTGCACCCTCTCCATGCCAGTGAGGAGAGGCAGAGCCCCAGGACCAGGGGTGCAGGGCCAGGCCACACTGCCCCACTGGCTCAGACACTGGACTCCTCTGGCCTTTCCACTGCCCTGAGACGCTGGCTGCTGGCTGAGGTTGCTGCCTGTCAGTTTGTTCCGGCTTTGCTGGTGGCTTAAGCTCTTTGTTTTCGAAAAGGATGGAAAAAGGAAGAACAGATGAGGACGGAGTCCCTTGGCTCCTGGTTGCTGGATGGGCAACTTGGGGCCTCCTGGACTTTTGTCTTTTTAGGGACGGAGCTGACAGTGGTCTTCCTTGACTCTGGTGCGTGCCACTCCTAGCCCGGACATCTCGCTCTGCAGCTCCTGGGGAGGGGGGCGACCCAACCAGCTCTTACCAGCCTTCCCCCTCTCTGCCAACACAAGCGCTAGCATAGTGTCCCAGCAGGGACAGCCGGCCTGCCCAGCCTGTCACTACTTCCCAGTGAACCACGGACAGTGCCTGCCGGTTTGTGGCCCAGGAGGCCAGGCTGTGGACCATGGACAGATTCTGCCCCAGAAGCCTCAGCTTCTAGTCCCTGGGATGGGAGCCTGCCTGTTCGGGTGGTAGCGGAGTGCAGTGGCTAAAGGACCATGGTCAATTGTGTGGGATGCTGGGCATGGCCTCCTCCTCCCCACCTTCTCACGGCCTTGAGTACCCCTGACACACCCATCTCCTGGGCATGCCTTGAGAATGGGACCACGAAAGGCCTAACCTCAGGCAGAGTAGGGAGGCACAGTATGGTTGGGTGGTTGGTGGAGCCCCGGCCGCAGCCTGCACGCAGGTGCCCCCCAGGCTGGCACCGGGCACACAGAGCAGCTGCAGCTGCAGCCGGGGCCTCCAGAGCCTGCCGGCCGCTGAAAGTCCTGTGGTGATGGAGGCACCCCACCGGGGGCACCCAGAGCCCGAGAGGCTGAGTCAGAGGCTGACAGGAAGGTAGAGCCCCATACCTCCCAGCCCCCGCCCCCGCTTCACTCTGCCCTGCTCCCTATTGGGCAGCTCTTCACCTCATGGCCAATGGCCACTTTCTCCCAAGAGGAAGGCCTGGCCTGCTGCTGCCAGTGTACCCCAGGCAGGCTTGTGCCGTTTGGACCTGTGCCTGTGCCCTGGTGGAGAAGGGGCCAAGCATCCGGGGCAGTGCTGGCTTGTAAGGAGGGCAGAGCCGGCACCTGAGACCTCAGGGGCTGGCTTCATAGCTGCAAGGTGTGATCCATAGCAACCCAGATCCTCCTCCAGGATGAGCCACAATTCCTGACTACCCAGCCTGAGTTTGACCATAGTTCTACAAAGGGCTCAGACACCTGCACAAGCTCTGGACCTAAACAGTCACAAGCCGAGCTTTGCACCTGCTCAGAGCCCAGACCTCATTCACACCCTAAACTCTCACTCTGGTCACACTCCAACCCTAATAAAAGAGATCCTGATCATACACTGAGCCCTGACCCTGTTCACACTCTGAGCCCTGATCCGGCTCACACTCTGAGCCCAGACCCTGCTCATACACTGAGCCCTGACCCTGATCACACTCTTTAGTCCTGACCCTGATCACACTCTTGAGTCCTGACTCTGCTCACACTGAGTCCTGACTCTGCTCACACACGAGTCCTGTCCCTGCTCACACACAGAGTCCTGTCCCTGCTCACACACTGAGTCCTGTCCCTGCTCACACACTGAGTCCTGACCCTGTTCACACACTGAGTCCTGACCCTGTTCACACACTGTCTCCTGACCCTGATAACACACTGAGTCCTGACCCTGCTCATACTCTGAGCCCTGATCCTGTGCATACATAGACTCCTGGCCCTGCTCACACACTGAGTCCTGACCCTGCTCATACTCTGAGCCCTGATCCTGTGCATACATAGACTCCTGGTCCTGCTCACACACTGAGTCCTGACCCTGCTCACACTGAGTCCTGTCCCTGCTCACACTGAGTCCTGTCCCTGCTCACACACTGAGTCCTGACCCTGCTCACACTGAGTCCTGTCCCTGCTCACCCTCTGAGTCCTGACCCTGCTCACACTGAGTCCTGACCCTGCTCATACTGAGCCCTCATCCTGGTCACACACTGAGTCCTGAGCTTGCTCATCCTGCTCACACACAGAGTTTTGACCCTGCTCACACACTGAGTCCTGAGCCTGCTCACACCGAGCCCTCATCCTTCATTAGTGTGAGATCTGCTTTGCACACTGCCCCCTGACAGGTCACCAGCGGAGCCTGCTCTGTGTCTCCGTGGAAACACTGCACGTGGCCACGCACGTTCTCTGTGTGTCACATGCTTGCAGGGCCTCCTCCTCTGGCCACAGGCGGCAGCTGTTAGTGTGGCATTCATCTTGCAGTGAATCGCTGGGGGCTTCCACACATCCGCTCTGCCCTGCCTCCAGTGACCCCGCAGCTGCACCCGGGCTCAGCTCCCCACTCCTCGTGCCCGTGACGCTGTCGCCCTGTGCGGTGGCCTGCAGGGTGTTCGGTGACCTGGTCCCGCTACCCAGGCCAGTGCTCAGCTCAGCCATTCCGACCCCCGGGCTCTGTCCCCTTTCCCCCCACCTGGCCATTGGGAGCAAGGCCTGGGGGCAGGGGTGAGGGTGGGAAACGGGGCGTGGGGGCTTGCCAAGCTGAGTCCAAGCCAGAAGAGACCCCTGTGGTGTGACACCGCACCCCATCCCAGCCACATGTGAACGGAGGGACCGGGCAGCTGGGTCCCAGTTGCCGCTGCCCCCTAACAGGAAGGGATGGACCAAGGGTGCGAGTGGAGGCCTGGAAGCAGGGCCAGGCCGGTGGACGGACCCCAGGTGGTCAGGGTGGGCAAGCAGGGTGGACACTCCCAGAAACACAGGATGGATATCCAGGGACAAGTACAGGGAAGAACAGATGACTACAGATGAGTGACCAAGTCAAGGTGGAAAGGGGGCAGACAGACCAAGGTCGAGTGGGTGCTTGGATGGAGTGAGCCGTCTGGAGAAGGATGGAGGAGGACTGGAGCGTGGGTGTCAGTGTCCAGGGCCCCAGGCACACGACTCAGGTCACCGCTGGTGGTGAGCCTAGTCTCTCACAGTCCCAGGGACTCAGATCGGGCCACCAGCGGCCCGAGGGAAGACCTCTCATGCCTCTGCTGGTCCTGGCAGCCCCGGGCAGGCAGCCCTGCTATTCCCTGGCTTGTGATGGCCTCACACAGACTCCCCATCTTTGCACAGCATCTTCCTTCTGGGTCTCTGGGTCTTCTCCTCTGCTTCTGGGGACCCCAGTCACTGAGTCTGGGGTCGATTGGCGTCAAGATCCTTAACTCAGTGACACCTGCAAAGCCCCTGTTGACAAGTGAGGTCACAGCTGCTGGCCCCGGGAGGACAGGTGCACATGTATTTTGGACACCGTTAGTTCCCTGGCTGATGATGAGCATAGAGACAGCACACCTGGTCAGGTCAGGGAGCTGAGAGAGGAGTCAAGCTCTTTGTCCTGAATAGACAGCTCTCTGCCTGCCACACAGACCCCAAATGTGCCATCTTCTGAACCCCATGAAGGAAAACCGGAGCTACACAGAACTGAGAGCTGGCAGGACCCTCGGGACCGTCTCTTCTTCCCTTACAAGTGGTTCCAGGAGGCGCAAAGGGGGGCATTCACAGCCAGGGCACATGCCTGAGACCCTTGCAGGCGTTGTCAGGATGTCTGGGCTGTTCTGCCACTGAGGAGACTTGTGAGGGCTCTGCAAAGGGCTTTCTCCCTCCCAACATACTTTGGGGTCCACTAATAGCCATCACGATTCTGAAAGGTCTTGTCACAGGCTCCTGTCCAAATGGGTCAGGAGGTTCCCGGGATCACAGGCACCCAGCTCCCTACCCGGCCTGAAAGGGCCAGGAGACAGAGCTGGTGTGAGGTGTGAGGAAAGTGTCCTTTCCTGTGTGGTCCTCTCCTGGAGCCTGACCTGCCAGGCACAG